CGCTCCCCTCCTGCCCCCTCATCGCCCGTCTCCCCCTTCCCTGCTGTCCCCTTCAGCGCCCTGCTCCCTGCCGTTCCCCGCTGTCCCTCCACACCCGTCTCCCCCTTTCCCGCTCCCTCAGCGTCCGTCTTTCCTCCCCACGAGTGTTTCCCCACAGAGGGGTCCCGCCGGGAGGAAGGGGAAGGTGGATGCTGGCGGGGAGGGGGTTTGAGCGAGGCAGGCCATGGCGAAGGAACAGCTTTAGAAAGTTTGCCATTGATCGCTCGGAAGCATGAAGAGTTCCCTCCGTAAGGGGTGGCTTTGCCGCCTTGTTTTTTTTCTCTTTGTGGCAATGAACTGCAGGACAGGTGCCACGCAGGCCCGGCCTGGAGAGGCAGCCCAAGCATCCAGAGTTGGGTTTGTAGCTGGGTGTTTGCCTGATGAAGCAATGTGTATCCCAGAGGAGCTCTCCCTGGCTGTCCCGGCTCCAGCCAGCTGGAATAAATCAGTATGCCAGGAAAGCAAGCAGAAGGGACTCACACACATACAGTAATTTCTAATAAATGCAAGATAAATCCTGAGGTAGATTGTTTTGAAGAGGAACTCCTTGTATTACCACACATTAATTTTGTGGCGCAAGAAATCTGAGCAAAACTAGTCCACTTTTTATTGGACTAAAATGACTGGTAAACCATCAAGAGTAAATGTAAAGAATACTAAACTTGTAATTTAGTAGTTTTCTGTGAAAGCGGAGAATTTATACAAAAACCAGTAGGATGTTTTGGCTTATGATGCACAAATACAGGCCTGGTCTCATTGCCCATGTTCATACACCACAAATAGTAGTTTCAATGATACTGGTCACCCAAGTGCCTGATCCTGTGTCAATTAAACCCAAACTGTATCCAGGTGGAAATATACTGGATTTCTAGAATGGAAAGTGCTTCAATAACCAGTTTCCTATGGGATTGCAAACCCAAAGGTCTTCAGACTACAACTGGAATAATGCAGTTTTATTTCAGAAGGTCTTTCTGAATGCTCTATTTTCTATCTGTGACTTTTAAATGAGATTTCTTCATTGTCTTGGTATATTTTTCCCCTAACTGTTGTTCTGGAATGATTTCTCTGGGTTCCAAACATATTATTGCCATAATCCTCTTCACACAAACTACAAAGAGAGGATTTTGTAGGCTACATTTGTTTCAGCCTTCTTAAGATACTTCATTCCTGTACTGATAAACTGGATTATCCTTGATAAACACATCTTGAAACATCTGATTTTTGGGAAAAGAGCTGTGGGTACATTTGGAGGGAAATATGTGCTCTCCATCTACATGAGCATTATCCAGGCACGTGCTAACAAAATGAAAACAATTAATTGAGTGTTTGTTTAAAGTAACTCTATATTGCTGTGCCTAAGAAAGAAGTCTGGTAGTGATATTCCTTTAAAGTTGGTGACTGTGCTGTTGGAACTCTTGATCCCATTTTGGCAAAGACGCTCTCTCTCTTGTACAGCTGGTTTATTTTATTTAGCAAGCTTGCACATAAAGTAGGTGGGAAACAATAGCTAGAAACAGATTGCTCAGATGAGCAATTGAAATTGAAGGCTATGATTTGATCTGGCAGTTAAGGCATGAGGATTAAGTCAAGTGTGTCTGATTCTGCTTGTTGTGCTGTCAAAGTAAAACTCAATTAAATATTAACATCCTCTTAATGAGAATTTATTACAAGCCAGGGTTTGGAGTTTTTCTCCTGCAAATGTGTTTTCCATAGTGGAATTATATTTCAAATTTGTTCTGAGGTATTAATTTCATAACTAATACAGTAATTAAAAGCCTCAATCGTTAATGTAATTGCACCTCTTCAGATGCAGGGATGCTAGAGTTGAATGCAGGCTTCTTATAAAAACAAACATAAGGCAAACTAGCCTATAGCTGTGTGATTTTATTTCAGTTTGTCTAAATCCTCTCTCAAGATATTAGAGCTTCTGATAGGTTTTTTTTCTCCTGTTATTTTATGGCTTACCAGCACAACAGAGTAATGAGGGGAAAATACTTTTAATTTAAAATGTTCTTAGTTCAAATTAATACATTAAACAGAAGTGCCTTGGTTGAGAGACAAAGCATTGTACAACAATGCATAAATACCTAAAACAAGTGTAAGTTTAAAGCCAGTACAGTGCCTCCCCTTACTGATCCTTTCTGTCCACAGTGGCTCTGGAGCAGCATGAAGCTGCTGAAGTAAGATCAGCACCTCTCTCTTTGCTCAGAAATGAGAGCTGAGATCTCCTCCACCCATGTGGAGCTTTTAGCACTACTGTGGAGGCAAGATGGCCATTAAAGAAATTACTGAAATATCAGTAAGACTAAATAAGTGTGTGTCATTAAATTGGTGTTTGTCACAGAGGAGTCGTCAGGGTTGCAAATGGCAAGAGCTAAGCAGAGCCCAGGGTTTTGGAAGTTGTTACTCTTTTGAGTTTGATTGGTACAGTTTTACACTTGCCTGTAAAAGCAAGTGCCACTCAGAGCTACAGCTGTCGTGGCAGGCAGAGGTGGTGAGAGTGCTGTGACCTTCCCAGAGAAGTGTCTTTAAAAAGACATCCTGGGTGGAAGGGACAGAGTCTTCATATGGGGTTCCACAGAGGGGCTTTATTGAGCTCCTGCCAGAAAAGGGTCCAGGGAGCAGGGTTTATATAGGGGTAGCAAGGGGTGGGGCAGAACATCAGAACGAATGACAGGAGGGCACAGGGGTGGAACAAAAGGGAAGGGCCAATAGGATTCATAGAATCAACATATGGCAATATCAATATGGCAATAATGCATTCTGGGGGAAGCTTTTTCCTCATCATGGCCGAGAGGTTGTTGCTTAAGGACTGTCCTTCAAGGGGTCTGTAGTCAGCTTCTCAGCCAGTTTACCAGCCTCCACAACTGTCATTAAATTGGTGTTTGTCACAGAGGAGTCGTCAGGGTTGCAATTGGCGAGAGCTAAGCAGAGCCCAGGGTTTTGGAAGTTGTTACTCTTTTGAGTTTGATTGGTACAGTTTTACACTTGCCTGTAAAACCAAGTGCCACTCAAAGCCTGGGTTTGGAGAAGTCTGTTTTGGTGTTCAAACACAATATCTACAACTTTATTTCTATTTTAAAAAGGAAGCTCAGAATATGGTACCACCACATGACGGAGTTGCTACATGTGGTCACAATGTACTGGTGTGTTACTCTGCCCTGCTGTAGGCACTAGTGTGTGTTTAACCATTCTCTATAATCACAGTAAATGTATGGTGGCTCTTTGCAGGACACATTGATGCTTCTGGAGACTCTAACAAATGTAATCACAATTGTTTTCCTCTTTAGATGATTTTAAGCCAGCATCGATTGATACGTCTTGTGAGGGGGATCTCCAAGTGGGTAAAGGAGATGATGTTACCATCACTTTGCCACATATTCCAGTAAGTCTCCTATATATATGCTCCTGTTTTCTCTGCAACAAATTTGCATTGTTGTTACATTCTAATGTAAATGCTATTTTCATTTTCTTTATTAACACTGGGGGTTCAATATTTAAGCAGCCAGACTTGTAGTTTATTACCTTAGGAAAGGACTGTATAGTTAGCTCTTTGTAAAGGGCTATATTTGTAAGGTTGCCAAATTATTCTTTACTTTTGATTCCTTCCTTGAAAGGGAAGGAGACTTTTACTATTAGCTGAAGCTATACACCTGGTTCCCATCCATTTTTAGTGCTGTGTAAAGGCAATGTCACTCGGGCTTCAGTCAAGGTTGGATGTTCAGAACCCACAGTCAGACCTGTAAGCATGCTCCTGCCTTTCTCAATCATGTACAGATAGGGCATAGAGGGTTCCCTGCCTTTAGCTTCATCAGTGGAAGCAAGGGGACAGTCCTGGTGAGTGGCCATGAAGTAGTTTCCCATCCACTTCCTTCCCTAATGATGCCATAAAGATCTACTGTGTGAGGATGATGGTCAAACAGCAGTAAAACAAGTGATCAATCTGTTTATAGGGGCACCTGGTTTGTAATTGAAGGTTCAGTGGTTTCCTTACCAAAACAAAAGAAAGTGCTCATGTGATGGAACTAGATTTGTTTATTAGCTGAAGTTGATGCTATGTGTCAAGCCAATAAACCAGAATTCACAGACATCAATGGGTCTGGTAGCTGCAGGGGGCACCAGTCAGTTTGGAAGCCGTGTGTCAGATCCTTTTGGTATTGCTGTTCCCAGCACATCTGTGGTTTTAATTGGTAGGTGAAGGTACTGTGATAATTCTCACTGAGTGAAGCTGTAGCTGCTTCACCCTGCTCCTGTTCAATATATGGCTTTGGTCACCTTCAGTGCTGCAGGAGGTCACACACTCCTTTATGTGAGTTTTTGTCTCTAGAAATGAGCATGGTAGTGCTATTGGAGAGCAGGTAACAGCACAACTAACAACAGCATTCATCTTGGATTAGTTGGAAAGAGAGTTGCTCATTGGTTTTTTTGGGTTGAGCAGCATCACTTGTAATGCTCCTTTTCAAATCTCTGTACTGAGGAGCTTAATTTGATTATCTTCCCCTCAGTATGAGCAGCCTTGAGTTTATGGAATGCTGCAAAGGCTGAGGCAGCCAAGGCACTCTATGTATGTTGTTCCAAGGCAGTGCTGCCTGTGTTCTGGACAGAGAGCTGGAAAACACTTGGCATACTGGAAAAGAATGAGAGGTTTTGAGATCGTTTCATCCTGACAAGTTTCACTGAATTTCTTGGATGCTGCTTTGCTTCCCAGTTGTCCAACAATTGGATAGCATTCAAATTCTGAGTTGAGGTTTTCTTTTTGAAATTGCCTAATCCCTGAGAATATCTCTGATATTTTGTTTGGTGGAAATATTTTGGTGTCTCTTGCAGCTTGGATAAATTGAAGTACTATTTCTGCATTTAGTGAAGTACTATTTCTGTGGATTTAGTGACTTCAATAACTGAAAAACAATTTGGATTGGGGAAAGGAAAATTTCTGCTTGTTAGAGTACTACAGAAGAAGATCATAGACTATCATGAATTGGAAGGATTCCCACAAGGATCATCAAAATCCAGCTCCTAACCCTGCACAGAACAATCCCAAGAATTGCATCATGTGCCTGAGAGTGTTGTCCAAGCGCTTCTTGAACTCTGTCAGGCAAAAAACCCTCACACGTGAAAACAATTCTGTCCTGTAATCAGCAAAATCTGTAAGCCACTGTGACTTAGGCACCAACATAAACCCTAAACATTTCGTTTTAAGTAGAAGAATGGGACTTAATTTGCTTGAGCACTTACACTTCTACTTATTATTTAGCCAAAATCAGTCTTTGCTGCTTTAGGAGGCTTCTGGGTAGCAGAATGATAGCCAACAAACTGATCAATTTTCATTACCTTTGTGCACTATAACTTTCATGGCTTAGATGTCAACAGCAAGCAGGATTTGACTTTAAGCTTTACTCTCAAATGTTGCTTTCCTCTCTTAAATGTAGGAATGATAAAAATGTAACATGCCTTTGAAGACTAGACTTTCTTGAGACACCCTTTCTGAATTGTATTTCTGAATCTCTCTTACTGTGTCTTTGTTAAGAACTCAGATTTTTCACACTTACTGTTCAGAACCTATTTTAAATTCAAATATATTCTATCTGTGAACAACATGGAGAATAGGAATTGCTTTCAGAGTAGCTAAAATGTGATTGTTCATTTTTGCTACTCAGAATAATATATAGGAGAGTGCAGGGTTTTTTCATTTGCTCCCCGATTTCGGTTGCTTTCCTACAGTACATGCAAAGGTGCCTATAAATAAACATTTATTTTTAAAATCTACATTCTTTTATACAGCATCTACACATTACTGAGAAGCCTGAGAATGTTTCATAGTTGAGAACATAACCCCTTGAGTAACAGCTTTTTGTCATGGCCAGGTGTGTATCCATGCTGTTATGTGCAGATAAACCATGGGTTCAGCTGGCTGTAATGTCAAAACCAGTGTATGGGCCAGGCTGTGCAAGGATGCAGTACAGCTGAGCATGATCTCAGCATTACCAGTTAGCCAGTGTGCACCACCACATGAGTTTCTTGTCTTTTTTGTTTCTCAGTCTAAGCCTTTAGAGTTTTAAGGCTCTGTGTAGCATTGTGTGGACTTGGGGACTTTCTGGAAGGCATCAAAATACCCCATTTGCCTTTGAGAAGACATTTCAGTATAATTGCATGGGCATATGCATGCTAATCTGACTTTGGAGAAGGCAGCTCCTCTTACTTAGTTTGTAAGTGACAATTGCTTGTAATCCACTGTGAAAATACTGCCATATATATTTATGTAAAATATACAGTGCAGTTTAAATTATTTTTCAATTGACCGCATATTTCCTTGGGCAATAGTTCTGCTGCACAAATAATTAGAACTTTATTTTTTATCCAAACCCATGATTTCCAGGGCAGAAACATCAAGAAGATTTCTGATACTTGTCAGGGACAGCTATGCAAATTTAGTTACGCTGCCATTTTGGGAATGAGAACTGTAAATAAAGGCAGCCATGGCGAAGATGTTTTGTCACAACAGGGACACTTAAAATGATGAAAGGCATAATATTGCTATGAGGAAATGTCTGATCTACTGCACATTTTCTCTGTATTTCTCTCTTCATGAATGAATATTTTCTGTAGGCAGTAAACATTAAGTTCTGAGCCTCTTTTTCAGAACAAAATATACATTCTTTCCTCTTAGTATTCATAAATTTTTGGACAGAGTAATATAACCAAATATGTGCTCTTTGTTTGTACCAGGGTTCAACTCCACCAATGACTGTCTTTAAAGGAAATAAAAGGCCGTATCAGAAGGACTGTGTGCTTATTATCAATCATGACACTGGGGAATATGTGCTGGAAAAACTTAGTAGCAGCATTCAAGTCAAGAAAACAAGGTAAAGCTGGGGACAGGGTTAATTGATGGGATTAATTATTGCTGAAGTTTCATATTAAGACTGGGTTTTGAAACAGAACTCCCTTATTTTGTAGTGATGTTTAATTACTAAACCTTAGCTTTACATGGCCAATTATCATACCTAAAAATGCAAATAGGAGTGTGAATCCAAGAGTAAAGAATTTGCAGATTTTCCACAGCTGAAATGACATAATTATAGTTTGCAGTGAAACACCTGTGATGTTTTGAGGCTTTAGATGCTGGCTGAAGGATGGGATGTGTTTCAAGAATCTCTAGTTAGCCAAAAAACACCATGAAAATATTAGTCTGCCAAAAAGATTATTGGACTTTCTAGGTTTGTTCCCTGCAGCTTCCTGTGGGAGTCACGATGTTTCAATAACATAATCTTAGGGAACAAGGAACACTCATTCCCATATTGGATAAGCAATATATTAAGTGGAACACAAGTACAAAGCCTGCAGCTGGTGAAGGTGGGCAGAGCTGTAGAAATAATGGTTATGGTGTTTTACCTAGAAGAATTGATGAAGCCAGAAATCCTTTCTGACCCAATACTGCTGCACAATTTCTACAAAGTATGCAGGTGGAAAGTTTTTACCAGTCCTACTGCTCTGCAAGTACCTGAAGTGTCTGGATCTTTCAGCATCACTGCACCACAGGTTGACACATAAAGAGGAAGCAGTCATTTGAATGTCTTGTGAAGAAAAGACTCTTAAATAAGTTTAGAAGTTTTACATTAAAAAATACTTTGTTACAGTATAGAACCCTTAGCTGCTAAAACTACTAGAAATGTGGGTTGCAGCTGCTGGGTGTTTGCCAGGAACGCCTTGAGTGCAAAATAAATGGACTGTAACACTCCTCTGAGTCAGTGATGTGAAAACTCATCCATGTAGTATTCATCTTGTCCAGTGGATATGAGCACATCACAGATGAGATTTGAATTCCCAATTTCAGTTCTGCTGGACTTTGTCTGGGTGAAGCTTAAGTCAGAAGGGAGCAAATAAGTGCAGGAGGGCCTGAGTTCTGTGAGATGTTTGGTTACACTGAGTCTTGAGTCCCGTGTGGGTAAAAATACTTAAAATTTTCTCAGGTAGTAAAAAATTTGGGGGTCCCTGTTTTGATGAGCAGTGCTTTGCAAAGTCATTGATTTTCTAGATCAGAAGTACCTTTTATTTTCCATGACTACTCTGATCTTTAACGACCTGTTGGCACTCTGTGGGAACAGGGCTTTTAGTGTTAATACCTTGATGGCATTCACAGGGGAGTAAGTGAACTTAATCCACATAAAACCATCTGTAGTTCCATGAGCATAATTAATGCTGGAAATCTTTGACTTTTACCATCCACTTGATGCAGTGAGTATCTTGCCAACTCCTCACTTCTGCTGTAGATAAACTTTAAGCTGCATTAATGTGTTATCCAACAGCTGCACATCACTGGTGAATGAAGAGAGGGTTCTGTGTGAGACTGAATCTAGAGCTCACTAGAATCTGAGGCACAGAGATATCCCAGTAAATGCTCCATGTACCAGCTCTGGTACCACAGGTGGTTTAGGTGAATCCCCAGGACGTTCAACATGGGCTACTTTAACTTATCTCACATTATAGGATCAGTTTCCAGACACAAAGTGTAACACTGCTGAGCTGGGACCCTCCTAGAACAGAAACTGAGTTCTCATATCCACAAGCTGTTTCTGTGCTGCACAAAGCCTTAACCCCAAAGGCCTTGCTGTTATGCAATAAATACACCACACCCTTTAACCTTATTATGGTGTACTGTAAAGGAACCTACTTTGGGTTTGTGGTTGGTTTTTTGGGTTTCTTTTTCTGCCAAGGGTATTGACTGTTGTGCAGTCTCAATCACATGAGAAGTTCAGTAAAAGGCAGAAATACCTGGTTTGAACTGAACAGATTGGCATAGTGTTATTCTGGAGACTATTTTCCACTAAGGAAACAGCTTAAACTGTTTGGAAGGGCTAACAGCAAATGGATACAACCCAGGAATTAAATACTTGTATGCTGTATTTAGCAGTAAGAGTGATTACTCTAGCCAAGTTGACCTCTAAGAGAGTTCAGTTTGAGATTATTTAATTGCAACTGAGAAAATTGTTTCTTTTGCTGCGACTGTTCTAAGCAGGATTTTGTTGTGAATGGATTTGTAGTTATTTTAAATTACTATGATTGATCATTCTTTTTTTAAAAATACAACTGCTAATTGCTAAATTAAAACCTTCATTGTTGTTCAAGTAGAGAATTTGGCATCACTGAAACACATCTGGATTTGAAAATACATTTTGTAAGAGTGTTGCAGTGTAGTTGTATATGTTTCTTTGTTACTGAAAGTAAGTTGCATACAGAAAGCTGTAATTCGGTCTTCATCTTTGTAAAACAAATTAGAGATCTGTACAAAAGGAAGTCACAGATGAAGCATTAGCACAAGGATATTGAAAAAGCTGGACATGGTTGCACAGTACTACTAAATGTGTCTGGTTGTTTCTTCAGAGCAGAGGGCAGTAGTAAGATCCAAGCCCGAATAGAGCAACAGTCTGCCCGAGCATCTCAGCCTCCTTCACAGTTCAGAGCCCCAACCAAGCCAGCAGTTGGACCTAAAACTTCTCCTTTGAAGGATAATCCTTCACCAGAGCCCCAGCTGGACGATATTAAGAGAGGTAAAGAAGGGTTTGTAGTTTCTTTGTCTTTCTTCTTTATAATAAAAACGATGACTGTGCAATTTCTAAAAACATTCAGGGATTAAAAGATGGTACTTGATAGCTGTGTTGACTTCTTTATATCTTGTTTCTTTATTCATCTTAGTATATTGATTATTTATTCTCTTCTACTAGAATAGATCTTTATATTGCCATCTTCTCTGGAGTGAGAAAACTTCCTCTTTCTGGGTAATTTTCTCTCTTCCAAACTATTTCTCTGTTTGGGAAAAAAGAAAAAAAATTAATGTGAGTTTAGAAACCTGTAGCTCAGTGCTGGACCAATTGCAGGGGTGTCTTAGGCCACCACAGCAGCAATAACAAAGTGTAATGGTCCAAGGTCTCGTTACAGTCAAGTCACTTGGAGAACATTACCCTGCACTGAGTGAGGCTGGGGGATGGAGGGGCTAGGCAGCTGAGATCCCAGTACAAGACAAGCTTGCACCATGCCAAGCACTGCTGGTAGGGGAGGAATGAGAGAGTGAACAAACCTGCAGCTTAGCCTCTTCCACAACCACTCCTTTGCAGCTTTGACACACATGCCTTATGGCTGCTAAACTTCTATTTAAAAAGTACCCTAAAGGAATGATTGACTCAGCTCACTCTTCTGCTTAGGCAAAGCTTTGTCTTAGTGTTCTGCTGTGGGTAGGATGCACATTCTTTGCCCATGCCCTTCTTTTGCTACTGATGTGATGGCTGTTTCTGCTGTGGATAATACAGTCAGGATAAGGAAGACTTTAAAGTTTTGTTTGATTCTTCTCTGGCACTGACACCAGACACAATTATTTTATTTTAAGCTTGTTCTTTCTGTCTGCTTTTTTTTTTTTTCTGGGTTTCTTTCTCTTTTTTCTCTGTCCCATATAGCTATTTTTGTCTGGAGACTTCGCCTATGTTAATTGCCCAGATGAAGTTAATTACTCAGCAGGGTATTTTTTCAGTTCATGGTAATCACTAGGTGACACTTTTGCTGCTAAGCTGTGTGTTTGTATAGGTGCTGACTGGTCTCACTTTTCTGCAGCAGTAGTGTTTTCAATACTTGGATGCTGGTCAGCAGCCAGAATCAACCTCTGAGAGATTCTGTTAGCTGCATTGTTATTTTTATTTTCTGTATAATAGGTACAGAAAATTATAATAGGTGATATATCAATTTTTTAAATTTAAATCAGTTGTGGATTTTAAATGTCTTTTCCTGTAGGGTATAATAAGTTACTTAGCCTTTGGGGCACTCTTTTTTTACACATACAGCAATTTGTAAAGGTTGTATTACAGTAAAATAATTACATTTGTCTGGGGTGACATCTATTCTAAAAGATCATTTTCTAGTGGTCTAAAGTATAAGTCACGTTGTTCAGAGCTATCCTAATATATTTTTGCCACCTGATAATCTTTTATATGAAAGTACCTCCAAATAAATAACCTGTGCGGTTTTGTTTCCAAAATCAAGAGTTAGAGCACCTGAGTTCTACTAAAAATAGGACTTTAATTTGGTGCTTTATAGGGGGAGTTGTACAAAGCCCCAGAAGAGCCAAAAGCCTGGGCAGGGGTGTTTTTGCTTATAGTCTATAACCCTTTCCAGCACTGATGATCTAGAGTGTCAGCATTGATAAACCATTTAAATCATAAGAACTTACTTAAAAAAGGTAGAATTAAAATGGCACCATTCCACAATGAAATATAGGCAATGACAAGCTGTAAAAGCTGTAAGGTAGTCTGCAATCCTGTTATCTTCCCTTAATGCGTGTTTTTATTAACATGGACTTGTAAGTCAGAAGAGCATGTGTTCTTTCAATTCAAGTAGTAGTTTTAGTTTTGGTTGAAGTACTTCCTCTGTATGAAAGAAAGATAAACAGAAAGCTGAAATTCTGTGGATTTTGTTTCGTGAACACAGCACAGAATTTAAAATTCCCAAAGGAGCTTCTTGAAAGGATCTCTGGAACTTTGACACCCTCTTGCTTCCAGTATGCCCTACTCAAGGGTGTGGTGAGACATAGCCTTCATGATGTTTCACAGTATTTTTAAGGTAACCTCATTGCAGGTTTCTGCTTTCCCTGGTACCCTCAGCTGTGCGTTTTCACCCCTCCCTTACAGATGAGCTGGAAATGAACTTTCAGGTGGGTCAGTTCTGTCCCAGTACCCAGCTGTCCAAACAGCAGTGTCTGAGGACAGAGTCAGAGCATCTGGGAATTGAACCACTCCCTTCCTTCATGGACAGAGGCTTTTGGGAGGCTGTGTTGAGGGTTTTGCACAAGTGGAATCCTTTCCTCTTCAAGCTTCTATGTTGTCCTTGTGCCTGAAGGGAGCATAGGAGAGAGTAGGAGCTTGTTCTTTTGAACACTCAGCTACATCTGATGATGTCTCACTAAGCTGTGAACATTTGCACACATATACCACAGTACAGTCATTTATTTGCACAAAATAATTGACATTTATCAGACCAATTTGATCATAACAGAAATGTTTTCAACAGCATTGACATAATTACAGCATGCAACATATTGATATATGTCAATAATATTGAAAAATTACAGCATGCAATAATATTGACATGGTTACAACATTTGAGAAAAAAACCCACAGAATCATATTTCAGGTTTGAAGACTCAGTGCTTAAAAATCTGAGCAGATTTTATTTACCTGGACTGTAGCTGTGGAATGTGAAGATTATGCCATAGCACTGTTTGTCTCTCAAGAACACCTCAGTCAAGTTTTCTGCACATCAGTATAAAATACTGCCTCTTCTAGCTGCCATCTCCACATGCTCAGGGTGCCAGTATCAAGTTGATTTCTCCACCTTGCATTCTATTATTACCAGTAAGTGTTCTGCTATAGGCATTCAAACTTAACCCTCCCTAAAGTTAAATGACTTTTCTCTGGCAGTTCTTTGTATTCTTGCAGTCTGAGGTGAAGGCTTTAGTTAAAAAATCTGCACAACCTATTGGAATTGAGAGAAGTAGGAACAGTAAAACACTCTTATGGTGTTTGATACTGAATATATACAGAAGACAGCCCTATTGAGAAAGGCTGTTCAGAAATCATTGGATAATGATTTCTGACCTTGAATTTATTTTTTTTTACTCTAAAACCTGCCTTGCCCGCCAGTGTAAAACGGTCATTTTGTCTTCTTGAAAGAAATCTTACAGCTGTAACATGAAACGTAGAGAAGTTAAGGTTCCCAAAGCAGTGTCAGCCTTTTCAGATGATGTAGACTCAATTAAGGCAAGTGCTCAAAACTGTACTGTATGGAAAGCTTTTTTAAAAGTAACTGCTGCACATCCTGACTCTTGTCATCTTTCAGACTGCAAAGGCTCATCGACATGAGGTGTTTGATCTTATGGTGCAGAAATGTCTAGGAAAGGTCAAATCTTTCCTTGTTCAGCTTAGAATATCTGTGCACATAGACACACAGCTATTTTAATGGAAGCACCATGAGGAAATGTTTAACCCACATCTTCAGTAGCTATAGCTGTACTAAGCATAGCAGTCAAATGGGAAAATGCAAAATTGAACCATTGTAAAGCAGCTGTGATTTTCCTATAAGGCTTTGATGTCATTGGCTTAGTCACTGACAGTGTGAGACAAGAGTGTTTTCAACAGAATTCCTTCGTGGTCCTGCTGAATTTCTCTTGACAGACTTCTCATGTTGCAGCAGCCACCAGAACATTAGTGGAAACAATTGCTTTTCTTTCATCTGCTCAGACAAGATGTTTAAAATTCTGGGCTCAAGGAATGAGAGACAACAGAGATCTGAGGGGAAGCTGTCAGCCTGTGAGGCAGAAGTTGATTAGAAGATGAGCTCTGACCAAGTTTCTACCTGTGACCAGTGTCACTGATAACAGCCTTAACATCCCAGTCCTTGAAGCTTGTGATACTGGTTCTGTTTTGCCTTTTCTTGCCTCTGTTCAGCGTAGCAGGCTTTAGCACTACTTCCAAGGCATTCTCTCATTCCTTTCTCATAACCAAATGTCTTTTATGGTCTCTTAGTTTTCTGCTTCTCCAGCAGAAAGTTCCCATTCTTCAGTCTCACACTAATCTCCAATTCTGTTTAAAATTGGCCAGGCAGCATCACTTCCTTCAGTGATCTCCTCACCTACTGTATTGAGTCCACACTTCTTGCTTAGTTTTGTTTTTGTTTTTTTTTTTCCTAGTTGTCTGCAGTGTGGTTTTGTTTTAACTTTCCCTCTCACTACCAATGCCTAAGATCACCTCACCTTCTTCACTCTATTTTACATATGGGTTCTGTGTTCTCAGTCACTGTGCCAACATTCTTCCATTCCAGCCACAGACTCCAGCTCTGTAGATATACATGTGTAATTCTCAGGCACTTGGCCTGTGTTAGACTTGTCTGTTGGATCTTTTTGCACTATGGATTGTGATAGGTGATTGTGCTTACTGCAATCCAGGATATTCTAACAATCACTGTAATTTGCAACTAACTACTCCATCACTAGAAGAATGTAGAAATTTTACATCATTAAGCTGGGAGGGAAAAAGTTTAAACCTGGGCATTTTAAAAAGAAAGTACCCTTATTCCTGGTTACCTTTCCTTTAGATTTCCCCTATTAATTTCCTAGCCTTAAATACAAGGAACATTTATAATTTGAAAGCCTCAACATCAGTAGGCTGAGAAGAGTGATTCACAAGTGCTCATTTGTTTGTGTATCAGGCTCCAGGCCTGAAATGTATTTTTAAAGCCTGCAAGACTGTGTTGAGAGGCAATAAGGTAGAAAGATATTACAGTACAAAGTACTATCTGCTGTTGGCCAGTTGAATCAATATATGATTCTGTTGAATCATATTTTCTTTCTCTTCCAATGGTCTCTCATACTAAGTCTTCAAGCTGAAAGAGTAGGGTTTACCTGGCATACTGGTAAACCACAGAGAGCACAGATGGTATAGGCAGGGATCTAGATGTAGGAAATAAATTGGAGAAACAGCACTGCTATCCTGAAATACCCAGCTGGAGTGTAACCAAAGCACTTGAAATTGAGCTCTAAACCTTGAAAGTGAAAAATAGTGATTTTAAATCTGGCAAGAGAAAACACAATTTCTCAAACTGATACATGCTAAGCTAGAGGAATTCTCTCCAGCAAATATTGCGGAGACCGAAAACTTAGCTGTTACTCTTTATTTTAGACTTCTAAAGTTCTCTAAAGTTTAGGAAACTTTAGCTGTTACTCTTTTATTTTTATTGGGCTATTTTTTAGCCCAAGGAAAATGAGTCTTATTAAAAAGGAACTCGTGACACACATCTGACCTAACATGAATTACTCCTGGCATCAGTTCTCCACTTATTAGGTAGGGTTGATAATACCTCATCTCTCCCTTCTTTCATTCTTGTCCTTTAGTCTGTGAGTTTCCAGGGCAAGCACTGAGTTCTAGCCCTGTGGGTATAGTACTGCTGCTAGCACAACAAAAGCCTGAATTTTGAGGGTTTCACATCCCATGCTTAATGTATCTGTGGATGTTGTTCTTTCCTGGAAACCTGCCAAGATGAACTGAGTCATTAGATACTCAGCCTTGTGGGTGGATACAAAGGAGTTGTCCTCTACTAGTGTTTAAGCCACTTTATAATTATGACAAATTTGACAATATTGTATCATTTGGGGTGACACACCTTAATATCTCTTTAGTAACCAGTCATTCAGCCAGCACTAGCTGTTGCTGATGAGGCTGTTGTGGTGCTGTCCTGGTGTTCCAGTGTTTCTTTGCACTGGAAATCCTAAAGTGGGCAGTGTCTTGAGTTGTATACCTTCCTAGTTTCAGAGTAGTTTCGTTATTTCCTGGCTACTTGTAAGCTCTGTAGCAGGTTATGGTATTTTTGCCACCCTCCAGTATGTGAAAATTCTCAGCTGTTCTCACCTGTCCTACTGCAAAGTTACTTGCTGTCATCCATCTGCTTCTGAAGTTTGTTTACAGTGGGCTGTGTGACTGTGCTGAAGCAGTTTCATACATTATCTGAAGTCAAGGCAGTTTCTGTTGTAATCATTTGCCCATGTCCATGTACCCACCCCCCAACAGACCATTTTTTGTGTTTTCCAAAAGCCTAAATATCACCAGCATCTAACAGTTCAGATTTAGATTTCCGTGATCAGCTGATGTACTTACTTTGTATGTAGACCATAGCCTGTCAGAAATAATGAAGCTGAACATGCTTTCAGGAGTTTGAAGTATATGAAGAATAATTGTGGGAGTGAAGGTTTTATGATAGTAACCTATGCTGTTGTTTTTTAAAATTTAGCTATAGCAATAAGTAAAAAAGTTTTCAGGATTTTTTTTGTTTCCCTTTCCTTTCATGTGAGATATTTTGGTGTGATAAACTATACTTGACAAAACCATCGCATTTGCACATTCTTTCCAAAATTCTATGGGGCCCTGTATTTTGTGGTATCAACCAGATGAATTCCTTTTTATTTCAGAACTGAGAGCAGAGGTTGAAATTATTGAGCAGATGAGCAGCAGCAGTGGAAGCAGCTCATCGGATTCAGAGAGCTCATCTGGGAGTGAAGATGAAAGCTCCAGCAGCGAGGGGGAAGAGCCAGCACACGTCTCCCCTTCCCAGCCACCACACCAGCAGTACAACAACAGGAATGCTGTTGCTAATGGCACCAGCAGGCCACAGGGAAGCAATCAGCTCATGAACACGCTCCGTAAGTAAATGCTTGTGTCTTACCACTATGAAAGCTGATTATGGCCACTCATTTACTTAGCATGATAGGCTAACTTCATGAAATGCCTTTTGCCAAATAGTAGTTCCAGGGAGCTGCACTAGCGCAAATATGTGGGCAGATTGTATGAACAGGGGGCTGAGACTTGTCTGATGGTGTGGAGAGCCTGTGGGAATCAGTGCAGTGATCCCCATTGTCCCTGTTGGGTCTTGATTCAGGCCTCCAAGTAGCCACTGGTGTGGGAGGGTCTGGTGTACTGGAGGATGGGAGTTATTTTCATGTGAATACACAGATTAAATGGAAATAGTGGGGTTGACACATTGTTAGTTAAAGGTCTGTAAAAAACTGTAAATGGCTCAAGGCTGTCCTGGGTTCCTAAGTGCAGTCTCTGTGGTCTTCAGTATTGCTTTGTCAGCAGATTTATTGTGTTGGTCTCAGCTGTATTTTCACAAATATCATGTTTTGAAGGGAAATTTAAATGAAAATTTTGTTAAAATATTGCAGCTATGGTGTTGCAAGCATTGAATCAGTACAAGCTGACTTCACCCTTTAAGAAGTGTCAGGAACATTTTTAAAGCATAGTTCTGTCCCATGAGACTCTTTCTGTGGACATGGTGTGCCTGGGTGTTGCTCTTTCCTTACGCTACATCAGGTATATTCCAACTTGGTGGAGTTAGAATATTGAATGTGCAATTGCCATAAATTGTTCTTAATTCCTCCTGAGGCATATTTGCACACATCTCTTGGCACCCATTCATAGGGAATTGGTTTCCAGCTTTGAGAAGATAAGTATATTGTACAGACCCCACCAAAAAGCCCTGCTAGAAAACTTAGAGACCTGTCAGTCTTGCTGCCAGTAATGAAGGAATAAATGAAATCCAAAGTTCAACAAAGTCATTAGGACTGTGCCCATTTCCCTGTTTCTGGTTGTGAGCAGCCTCCTCCCTGCTTCTCCTCGACCACAGTACTGCATGGGTTTAATGATCTGAAGCTTCTGACTGCAGGAGAATCTGGGAACTACCAGGGTAGCTCCTCTCTTCATGCAGTGCTTTTGCCTTTGGATTTGAAATACTTTTGCTGTAGGAGAATCACCCCTAACCCAAGTCCTTGTCTCCTGTGTCTTGTCTCTATGCCTATTGAATAGATGCCCTGCAGCTGTTTTGAGGGGAGGGCAATGGGAGAATGCTGGAAGAGTTAGGTTCAATTATCAGAACACAAGCTTGATTCTTGCCCCTTTTTATCCCCTCCATCTCACCAAATCATGACTGCTCTGCAAAACAGGATCAGAGCCAGTAGGTTTGATCCATATCCTGGCCTTTCATCCAATCTGTGCACTTTGGAGGGCAGCCTTTACCTTCACAGCACGTGTCAGCTTCATTCAGCCTTGAGTTGTGATGGCTTTAACAGCCCTTTTGGTTTTTTGACATGTGGAGGCCTTGCCTTGGCTACCCAAATGGCCTTACACAAAAAAAAATCTGTTTTTAAAGGGTAAAGAAAGCCAAGGAATTCCCCAATGCCTTGTCCTAGAGCCATATATGGAAGCTTTGGTGGGTGGAGGCTGTGGAATGTTTTCTGCAGCTGTTAGCATGGAGAGGGCTGTTGTCCCACCAGGGAGCACCTTTGGTGGCTCTGGAGACAAGGATGTTTGGTTTGGCCTGAATCCAGCTATTAGCCCCATGCAGCTCTTGATGTTCTTGGGCAGTTCAATTAAATCACAGATGATGTTTGCATTCATTTCATGTGTTATTCTTACTTAAATCTTCCAATGTAAATGTGACTGTTCTTTGGTTTGATTGCCATGAAATGTGAATTGACGCCTACTCACTTGTTGTGTTTTGTTGGTTTTTGTTTTCCATAGGAAATGACTTGCAGTTGAGTGAGTCTGGGAGTGACAGTGATGACTAGAGGCTGAGCTTTTGCTGTTTCTGTTACATATACATGAAGAACTAATTTACCTTGAAGTGATCCTATTGCTTATGAAGAGGAGCTGGCACAGAGATGGTTCCATGTGTGGAATTTTAATAGAAGAAATGCATAGCCCTACAAAATAGCAGATGTTGAGGACTGTTTTACTGTGTGAATTACATGTATATATTGTGTATATTCTTATTCTGCTAAAGCTTTGAGTACATATGTACAGTGAGTGAGCCAATGTATGTTCCTGTCCACCATCTGTAAGTTTAACTTGTAATTATGTGAGGTCATCTGAAAATCTCTTGTTTGTAGGGTATGTGCAGTGCATCATGACTTTGTTGGGGGACTTTTGTATATAGGGTGAGCATGTGCCTACAATGAGTTTAAAAAAACATGCAGGAGCTAGTGTGTGCACTGAAGTGGGACTGCCATAAATTAAGTTTCAATACTAAATTGATTTCTTTGGTTTGGGACTTTTTTAATGCCTTTTTATTGCTATTTATGGTTGATTTAATAGACTGACTTTTAAACAGTTGGACAATAGGAATGATTAAACCATGTTTGTCACAAACCTTGCTGCATCAGTGCCTTATGAGCAGGTTTTTTAAATAGTGCTTCAATTCCTGCCACCTTCCCTGTATGGAGCAATACTGAAACCTCCTCAGATTGCTTCTGCAAACAAGAGCTGTGTGTCACATACTGCCTGCTGTGCTCTAAGGGCAGTGTCTCTAGCAAGATAAAGGATACACATCAATCACCTAAACTCATCCAAGTAGGAATCAGATAATCATTCTCTTTAGAAACTGAAGGGTCCCATTTAACTCAGACTTTCAGACCTAGTCTTCAGAAATACTTACAATCCCAACTACTAGTGACATTGCAATGCCACAAATGCAAAATATTTGACTTATTGAAATTCTAAGACTGGAGCCCTCTTTGCAGTTTCCTAGAGAGTGCAAAAAGAAGAGGTGACAAAACAAGCAGCCATGAAACAGCAGAAGTCTTTCTCCCACCACAGTTGTAAAGGTAGACTTTAGTCCATACTGTTCATTGGATGAACCTCTTTGTGCTTGGCAGGAGTACACAGAACATGAAATATTTGCCAAGGGTGAAATTCACCCCTGTTTAAAGGGTGTTTAAAGGGTGCTTAGTTGGATTATTATTAACTTTTTTGCTCACATGGAAAATGAGTGCCATAGGCAGCCTCTTGTGACTTTTTAAAATCAAAATTCTGCTGACATAGGACAAGTTGCACCTTAGTTGTGGTGTAATCCTGAGGAATGGGAAGCTGAATCAAATGCCTCCCCATTCTCAGGTCTCTGCTTTGCACTGCTCTCATCTGTCAGTTTGTGTTTTAACTCCTGTTTGTTTACTGAGCTCTGTCATTTTTTTTAACATGTTGAAGAGCAAGGGGACATTTGAAGGGAGATTTTATTAAATGGTTTATTTTTTTGCATTAGATACATATTTAGGCATATTTTTGCATTATTGTACATACATTAAAAATACTTGGTTTTTTTAAAGTGTTTTGTGATGTAGGTATGTATTTTAATGGACAATTATGAAATATACTTGATGAAAAGCCACAATTGCTCTTCTTTTTTTTTTTTTTTTTCTGTTCTCTTTCTCTGTTCTCCCTCTAACAGTAAAAATGGTCTGTCTTACAAGCTTGTACCAATTCAGGATTTCACATTTTGGTGCCCGAGATCTGCATAGTATGGTTTGCAGTCTAATAAATGTTAATGCTGCTCCTGACTCTCCCCCAGCTCAAGATCTGAATGAGCAGGGAGACATTTTTCTGATGCCATTTCCCCATTACTGGAGTGAATGCCTGAGTTCTGTTGATATTATTTGCACTCAAATGGAAAAGCAGCAGAGTGCAGCATTTTCATTCCTTACCATCCACTACCTTCTCGTGTACTCTAAAATCGAGGACATGTCATAGCAAGTTTATTAATTATGTGTAAATAAAAGATATGAAACTTTAAAGGGTAAGATAACACCAGGCTACATTGATTTGAATCGCTGCTTTAATTGCTGATTAGATCAGCAGTTGGGAAAGCTTCATTAAGATAATCAATTTCTGCCTTGTTTTTGTACTTTAGGCCATGTTTTCCTGCTCACCCCTCCCTGACAGATTTTTTTTACCCTTTCTCTGTTTGTTGGTAACCAAATTAAGATATTTTTACACAACTGCACCACTTTTAAACTCAGTTTGGCCATGCTTTGCAGTTTGGCCCCCTCAGATGCAGCATATCAAGGGTGGCCTGTTGTTCACGAGCTGTTCATGTGCCCTTTTCCACAGGGAGGTGAGTGACCACAGCCTGCAGGAGGGTGTGAGCCAGCCAGTCCTATGAGTGTGTGAGCAGCCCCTCCCTCCCTGCCATTGTCCCAAGCTGCTCCTGGCATCTCCTGCCTGAGGAGCTCTCTGGCATCTCCACCCTTCCCACAGTTCTCAGGTACTTGGAATGTATTTTGTGGAGGTGAACCATGCACAGGCAACTTCTAAGATCAGAAAAGGTGGCTGCCACCACCAGCAGCAATATGTTGACTTTTTTCTGAATACACCTGTGTGTTTTAAAGCCATTGCCAGCCTGGCATTTTGATTGAGGCCCTTGAAATTTTATGGGTTTTTTATGTATTAAGAGACACTAACTGTTGTCTGTCTGTTCCTATTGGATGCCTGCTCATTGGTTCATAACTTGCAGTAAGCTTCATTTGGATGGAAAAATTGAATCCAAGCAATTATTTTGAATTTTCTTAATTAGTTAGCAATATATTTAACATGCTGGAAAAATTGTTGACTAACATGTTTTGATTAGGCTTGTTAATGAAATAAAGTATTCCTGATTATTTGTGGTAGGTTCTAATCGTGCAGGATTTTAGCACTAGCACATCTTATCACCACACAGTAATTCTTCCACATAAAGCAGGAATTTCTTTTATATGCCAGTTAGTTTAAATGTGGATTAGCAGTGTATGTGGAGTACAATTATGAGAAAGAATTGAAACTGAGGATTTCTTTGCATTCATGGAGAGCTGCCTGCTAGCCACGGCAGGGTGAGCAGTTCAAGGCAGCTTTGGTTTCTGATGGTTTCTGCTGTTCAAGGACTTCATCCATTTCAGTGGTTTGGCTTTCCTTAAACTTCACCAGCAAACATAGCCTGCTTATGACTTCCCATAACTTGAATTGCTGTAGGAGTAATAAACAATCATGATTTAAGCAGATTGTCACAATTTCAAAAATTGTTACAATTTTTTTTTTTTTTCATAAAAACGCTCGGTTTCCAAAGGGACAAATTCAGTCATCTGCTTGTCCGGGTGAGATATCTTAAAATATAATTGCAGCAATGCCTAAGCTTGTGTCCCAGATTTTAGTCATGTGCAGAAAAACATCCACCCATCTCTGCCCTTGTTCCAGCCCCAAGGGCTGAGCAGCCCTGCCAGCAGGCACAGTTTGAATCATTCCAGCCAAACCAGAGGAACAGCCACCTCCGAGAAAAAGGTGTCCCAGGCCCCTGATGAGAGTCACATGTGGAACAGTGGGTGGCACTGCCCTTTCTTGTTCCCCTAAAGCATCCCCTCCTCTCACAAGTCCTGGCTGAACTGATTTTGTGGGGAAGGCAGCCTGATGGAGAAAGGTTTTTCTTCAGCACGTCTGGGAATAGCTCTGAATTTGACTGTGGGTAGTGCATCTATTTTGAAGATGCTCTGTCTTAGTTGATGTGCAGTTTCCTGTATTATAGACTAGATATAGGCCTGTTTATGTATAGAAAGAGTTTGATGTGCCAAGCTTTACAGTCTTTTTTTCTCCTTCAAAGTCCATTTACTTGAGTTGTCAAAAAACCCTAAAAAGTTCAACAATCTGTGCACGTCTACTTTTTTTTTTTTTTTTCCATTTGAAAACTGAGAGAAACATAGCCTGGAAATGCATGTGTTGGAGAACACTTATTTTCAGTAATTGTCTATGCTTCATTATTCAGTGTGCTAGCTGCTGAGTCAGAGAGATCCTGTGGAAAACACAGCTGCCCAGGAATGGGCATCTTGATGGGATGAAAGCTTCTGATGTTAACTGTGGATTCAGCTGCTGATGCTGAATGACGATATCTTGGGTCTGTCTGGTTATTTACAGTTTGTTATACTCACACAAATATGAGTGCCATCAAAAGGAAAAGAGTATTGCTGATGCTTGCCTCACAAACAGAAGCTGCCATGTGGAGGACAGACATGTGGACTAAAAGCTGTTGATTCTACACCCAAACCCTGTTCTCAGAAGATAAATGATCAACAGAACTAACAGTCAGTTAGGCAATAGCTGCCTCTGGTTTATGTGAGAAGGGCGTGTATATAAAATGGGAAAGTCTCTGTTTAGCTATTGCTTCCTATTCCCACTGCTTACCCTCCCTTCCTTTCTTTCTTTTGTAATTCCATTACTTCTAGCAAAGGTATGCTTTCTGCTGCCAAAAAGTCCTGCAGGAATTTACAGGAAAGGGGGTAGGTGTTGAAATATTACAAATGCACTGGCTGTATTTATCCTTGCTCTAAACTTACTGTAAATACTGTAAATGACAGAGACTTTGTGAATGGACCCATCTTCCTCCCCCTCCTTGTCTTTGCTTTTTAGGACTAAGCATTATTCCTTTGGACAAGAGGAAGAAAGTGCAAGATGACAGAGGGTGAAAGACCTCAAGCTGATGCTGCATATGTTGAGGATGCTGTCGTGGAACCATGGCCTGAGCTAGCCTGACTTGATCTCACAGCATTGTTGTAAATTGGACACAAAATTCACATTGCCCTGTGGCTGGGAGGAGTGGAGGTTGGAGAAAAATTAGGTTGAAAATACCTTGCTAAAGGAATTTGTGCAAGAGTTTTGAGGGAATGATTTGCCTTGCTAAGTTTTGTTTAGCTCTGTCAGTGAGTTTTTGTGTGTCCTGTGTATTGGAGTTACCCCCACTTCCCTAACTTTTTAGGCAGATGCTCGTGGAAGTGGGGACTGGAGTGAAGCTGACATGTTTTGTTCTTCTGTGTGCTGTTGGATTTAGTTCAACTGCATGTTTTTTAAATGGCACTGACAACTAAATGAGACAACTGATGGGATATCTCAGAAGGAATTATATGAATCTGACTTGAAATCCCACAGAATCTGTAGGTTCTGGTACCTCTGACTGCAATTTTCATTCTCATAAGCTTTTGTAAAAATAGGGCTTTGTGAAGGGTAGAGTGTAAAAATGCACTAAATACCATGTTGAAGGTTTTACATGAAAATTTTGACCTGTGTTTCTTCCCAGACCAGCTAGCTTTGTTGTAGGATATGTGTGAAAATCTTTGATGCACACTTGTACAGGGTCAGCTCTGAAGGAAAGTATGTCCTGTGTGCTCACAGTAAGATATAATTGTCTGCTCCTTTGCCACCCCAGTCAGCCCATAAATTCTGCCATCACCCCTCCATAACTTGGGAATTGGCTTTTCCCTCCACAGCTCTGACACCTCCTTAACATTTTCTTACTGCCAGACTAACAACACTATCAAAACTGAACAAGCACCTGCTCAGGAAAACAGCTACCAAATACTTCAGTGAGCATCATGGATTTTGCTCCAGTGCTTCAAATAAGTATAAAGATTATGACAGTCTGCAAGGAACACAGAGGCTGTGCTATGAGCCCTGCATGCTCATCACACATAACAAAGATGACAAAAAATTGTGTGAGTGTATGGGACATGTACCAAAATGGTCAATTACACTGGAGCCACAGGCTGTGCCACGTGTGCATTGGGAAGCTGAGTGGGAGGAGATGTTTGGGAGTGGTCTGCACAGAGGAGGTGACAGCAGGGCCATTGATGGGACTGAAGTGGAGAGGACACAAAGGTGAGAGACCACTCAGTGATGGCAGTGTTCTGTCAGCCATCTTTATGGTGGAGAAGTTTTGAATGTCCTGAGAGTTACTGGTAGCTGTCACCCTCTCCTTCACAATGTAAAAAGTGTTTAGCTATGCAGTGTTGTATATTTAGGTATGCAGTTATTGTGTAATTAGGGAAGAGAGAGGGTTATTTGGGTCTGGGTTCTGGAGAGCGATGGCAGAAGGGAAGGGTAGGGATGGGGGTCACTCAGCAGCTGCAGGCTGTGGTGGTTTCCTGCTCTTTTCCAAGAGGAGCTAGTGAATCTAAAGACAAGGGATATCACAAGTTCCTACTGGGAGTAAAGATCCTGATTGAGCTAGACTCCAAGAAGTGACTTCCAAAGCTAGCTCTGTTCTAACCCTATCTTACTCCAAATTAATTTTTCAGGTTTATGCAAGACACTAAGATGTCTTACCTCAGAAACAGAGCCAGACTTTTCTTCCATACTGCTGAGGCTGGACTCAACATCATAAACAAGATGGTGTAAACTAGAAAATAAAGCCCCTGATTAACCATTAGCCAGTAAAAATACCAAGCCTGGTGGTTAATTAATCCAGCCAGTGAACTCACCTCCCAAATGCCATGAAGAGATTTTAAGGTGCAATAAATATATTGCAGCTGTGTCTGTGCTAGCAAGGAGCACAGCCCGGGAGCAGATCCATAATGCAGGAGAGTGCTGAGATTGCAATGT